ACGAACACGCCCTATCATCTTCGAACTTATTAATGGACGTTTCGCTCGTGTCTCGCATGCTCCACAATGTGAGGCGTGTGAAGCATAAACCTGACTACTCCGCATAGGTTAACTAAACACGCTTTGCCACTGGTTAAGGCTATCGATGAACGAAAACAAATGTGTATAATGCCATTTCGGTGGAAAACTGCTCTTTCTATGTAATTGGGGATATCGTCATTCGTTGTTATTATATCTACCGGACTTAGGTCAAATTCTTCACGGTTTTTCCTGATGCTAGCTGGTGTAGGCAATGCTCGATATGTCTGTGTGGTTCACAAGAAGGTTGTCTTGGACGAAGACCGTTAAGGAATAACGTAGATATGGCGGGGAAGCCGACACCGTTGCGGGGGGAGGGAATCTGGAAGAGAAGTTGTGGCATCCAGTCTCGACGACTGGGTAGCAGATTCACCCTTTGGGTGAGGGAAAACACGACAATACCGCCGAATGCAAGTGGTGAAATATCGTTTCCCTAAACAAACTAAGACCACTGTGAAGGCAACAAGAAGTGTCAGTGAGACGTTGATAAGCTGAGAAGGGGATAGTTAGGGGGGTTCTGGGGCTGAGTCCCTCAGTTGACCTCCCTGATCATGGTGAATTACCACTGCCTTTACGGTGATCATGATTCCTCCTACTCCCCATGCGGATTCGCCTCGGTATCGTGGTGTTGAGGTTTTATGGTGTCATCAATGGTTAACGAATTCAGTGGTTTTTGATAGCCGCTGTTTGCCTGTTGTTATTCTTGTTCACTCAACACTTGTAGGGTTTATGATGTTGGTAGTCGGGTTTGAGTTCTCAAGGACCGTCCTTGAAAACTTCGCTGGGCGCAATTTCAATCAGCCGGGCGCAATTACCGTCCTTGGAGGACGGTAAGAGTAGATACCTGTATGTGCATGCTAGTCCTGGCCTAAGTCAAAGCAAGGGCGGGCTTTCTCTTCACCGTATCAGTGTGATGTCTTAGGTGGTTACTGCCATTGTGGTGGTCACTTTCGTTGGGATGGTGCTTGTGATAGATTATAATTTTGGATTGTGAGGATATCAGCGTTTGGGGGAAGGCCTGTATCGGGGCTAGGTGTGGGAAGAAGAAATGGTTCATGACTGTATAAAGACACTATCGTGCTTGAGGTTCACCCACTGTAGTTTGGTTGAGTTGGTTGGTGAGCTGGATTCGCACTCAGCCGTCCCGAGTTCAATCCCTGATCATCTCATAAATATCACTCGGGACTTGATCTCTAGCATGTGCTATTGTGAAGCAAACAACTAGCATAACTACATCCTCAAAAATGTTACAAAATTTATAAAAAGTTCTAAATATACCCCCTTTAGTTTTCCGTTGCCCGCTTTCCTTTCCCTTCACTTCTATGGCCCAACGCGAGACAGCAGGAGGAGGTAGTGCTCAGAATAGGGAATAAGACTGATGATGGATGACCTTTGATCGGCATCGTCCCGACTTGACTGGGACTATATTATACGTGGCCAAAACCGGTCGATGAAATTTCGTGTGGGAATAGAATTTCCGTTTTCTTTTTTTGTGTACCCGTCCGCCTCTATTGGTTACTTCTCCTTTGTTTAGTCCCTGGTATGTCAAAAAGCGATTCTGAGGGTCTCTCTGATGAGGTGAGATGGGAGAGGAAAAGTGGATTTAGTGACAACTCTGTATGAATGCAGGCATCAGATGATCTCAGTGAAGATGAAGGCGTTAGCTGGATTGAGTGGTTCTGTCGCTGCAAGGGCAATGAGTAGTGTTGGAAAGGAAGAGCACTGTTGTGGTAGTGTCGTTGGGGTCAGGTACTTCGTAGAAGTAGATGAGGACTATGTACTGGATGATTTCAATCTCACTGGTTTGCGGGATATAGTTCCTTATTATGACCACGCCCTCAACGTCATCCTAGACGCTGGTGTGTTCTGCATGGTTACCTTGGTTGTTGTTGTTATTGTTATTTTCGCTCAGAGGATGAGGAACTGGATAGCGGCGAGTTGGATCACTCAAAAGAAGATGCAATAGAAAGTGCGGCCCAGATGTTGTATGGGCTCATTCATGCCAGGTGGGTGACACGCGTTGGGTGTCACCGTGTGGGTACAATGGGAGGAGTGTTTGCCCAGGTTCTTATTGACTAGTCGAGGTATGCAGGCTATGTTGGATAAGTACTCGGCTTTTACGTACGGGTTATGCCCGAATGCGGACTGTGAAGAGGCGAAGCAGCCGGTAGTAATGACAGAATATATTTTTAGGGGAGCATTTGATATCACTTACGGTGTTGCTTCACATGCCTCAGAAGAATCCAAAGAACTGCTGTGAAATTAGATGCATGTGACTCTCGCCCTTAGGTCCTGCCCTATGGTAATGATCGGCCCGGTCAGTGTGGTACAAAAGTCTTCTGTCCACGGTGTAATGAGATTTACTACCCTCGATCAGCGAGGTAAGCCAGGACCCACTGAAGCTGCCATCTTATTTGCTCTCAGGTTGGAGATCATTGACGGCGCCTATTTTGCTAGCTCGTTCTGTCATATGTTCCTCATGGCATATCCCCATCTGCGGCCCACATCGCCGGCCGTGCCATTCGAACCAACGTAAGAGATAGTGGCTAGTGCTTGTTGTTGTAGAAGTGATGTTTCTTCTTTGGTTAGGGTATACGGTTTCAAGATCCATTATAGTGTTCGAGACGGCGTGAGAAAGCAGTTTCAAGTTCGACAGCAAAGACTTCAAGAACAGCAGCAGCAGCAACAACAGCAGCGAGAAGAGGAGGAGGATCTGAAAGCCCAGCAGCATGCTGCTAGTGTTTGACCTTGGTCGGTGACAGTAGCGAGGCCTGGCGGCCTATACACAACGTATCACTACCAACTATTGAGTGACAACGCTTTTCTCACCTGTATGCAGTGGGGACATTGAGTTGGATATCAGTTCAGGGGGGAGTGGTATGAAGTGGTGTTATGGGACGATCCGAGTACATGAGGGATTGGTCGTTGAATTGCTACTGCTCACTCATGGTTTGTGAGTAACGCACTGAACTAGTGATACATAAGCTCTCGGGGGTTCTCCAGAGGGCTAACGACATGCGTGATCGAGTAGCAATTGCTAGGCGATTTTGTAGTTTATGATATACGTAGTTCATATTACGAAGCCTCGGGATTGTTTAACACGGGGGGGGCATGCTTAACTAGGGGGATGTAGATAGTAGCATGCGGCAAAACGTCATCGAACTTGGTGTTGCGATGTGGGTTGGGGAGCACACTGCCACCAAGAGTGAGCGAGGTACTGTCAAAACACGGAGTAAGAGAGCAGTTTCAAGTTCGATAGGAAGTAGCAGATCGTCTGAAGTTGCATAACAAAGTTAAATGTGCGTATTTCCTCGTTGAAACAACACCTGTATTATGATGATGGCGATTTCATTTTGCACATCACAAGGTGGTGTTTCCGTATCGCTTTACAGTTGCTTTTGTTGTGGTCGGAGGTTCGATCCCAGCACCTGGCGTTTCTCCTGAAATATCTGAGGCTATGCAGAATGACTCATCCTGTGATAATGCTGTCACTTACCATCCATTGCAGTTTTATTGCTATCATCACAGTAGAGCGATCAACGATCATGTCGTCATCTTTAATACGGTCCATGCTTCCCGTTATGACCACAAGTAGCATGAGTGCTGCTCTCACCGCCAGGCCCCTGGTGAGGTTCACTCGAGCGTTCCATGCCGACGCTGCTGCGGCTAAGGGGCTTCCCAGTGTTAATATCATCGTTGATCCTAATGGGAAAAAGAAGACCGCGAACGCCCCAATTGGGTGGTCGCTTATGGATGTTGCCCATCTGAACGGAGTTGATCTTGAGGGAGCTTGCGAGGTGAGGAAGATTCATTTCGAGATTTTTGGTATGGTTCGATTTAGGGACAAATGGCGTGCTCCACTTGTCACTGCATCTTGTCACAAGATCTCTACGATAGCTTGCCGGAGCCTTGTGATGAGGAGGATGATTTACTCGATCTCGCCCCTGGGCTGGAGGACACGAGCCGTCTGGGATGCCAGGTGGCCTCCTTTTCCATAACATGGTCATTGATAGTGGCTTTATGCTCAGGTTAAGGTGACTGAAGATATGGATGGTCAAGAAGTAAAGCTGCCTCAGTCGACTGTTAATTTCTATGTTGATGGTTACAAGCCGACTCCCGAGTGAAGTGAATGTTGTTTCTGAAGAGTTTGACGGAAAAACTGTCAACTCCATTAAAATTGCTAGACTGCTATCGTGTTTAATTTGCTTGAGTTATGGTATCTATCTTCTTGGGTTAGTAGTGTCACTCGGGTTTCCGCTTAGTTTATCATTGCTATGCTGAGTTTCGCTCGGAGGGGTGTCGGCAGTTACAGAGGATCTCGCTGCTTTTCGACGATCGGATTCATCGGTCTTGGCAACATGGGTGCTGGTATGGCGGCGAACCTTTTGAAGGCCCAACGCAACCTCGTCGTGTTTGACAAGTTCAAGGATTCTCCTGGTAGTTTAAGAGAGGGATTTCGTTGGTCAAAATAGACCTTGTGATTGGTTTCCTAATTCGTAAAGTTGATTTACGAATTTGAACTTTTATTTTCGGCTGGTCTGCGAAAATCGAACTTATATTGCGACTTTGAACTTTGATCCTGTGAAAAACTCCTTTCGGGTGCGGGAAAAATGTAGGTGACATTTGTGGAAATTTTGAGGATGAAAATAAGGAATTCCCATTGACTTCTCTATGCTTCCATCCGAATTTGTACGTAAACTTTTATAGTTAGTGAGGAAATTTCTGCACTCGGCTGAGGAATACGACAATCATTTATTCCAAGACTTCTCCTTGCGCTAAACGAGAAACATTTTTTTTGATTTTGGTATTGAATTTGCTGAGTTTGAGATTGTAGTTATGGGCGTATATGGAAGGCCGATTCTGGAGAGATGAAAAATCTTGGAAATGTACGATTTGATATTTCGCAGTGAGCGTATCAGACTTCAGAGTTTCGTTCTCGTGATAGAGTCGCTGGTTACGGTTGGATGTCCATCGCTCAGGTGTAAAGGAAGCCGCGTCCAAGGGCGCTCGAGTGGCTGAAGATCTCGAGGAGCTGTGTGGATCGAGTGAAGTTATCATTTCTATGTTACCAGGCACTCGGGATGTGGAGGAACTCTATACTGCTACCAATGGAGGGGTAGGCAAGCTTGGACCGCGATGCATCGGGGTTTACTGCTTTGGAATGTAGCTATCCTAGGGTATGTGATATAACTGGTCCGTGGTAAAGCTCTCGGCTAGTACACTACACGTATTATTATAGCTCAGTGATGTACACTTTTCCCTTCTGGACAACCAAAATCGAACACTTTATATATCCGCTTTGACTCAGTGCGAGCTAGTTGTGATTTTTGGATGTCGTGCGTCTGTCCATCTTTCATCGAAAGTATGTGGTATTCAGATCCTATCCCTGTTGGAGAAGTCGTCATTCTTGATCGACTGTTCTACTATTGATCCTATTGCTGCCCAGCATGTTATTAGGAAGGCCCAAGAGCAGGGCCATAGGATGGTGGATGCCCCGGTCAGTGGTGGAGTCCCGGCGGCTAAGGCTGGTAGTGTATTCATCTTCGATGTGCGATTGGATACGGTGCTTGAAGGGTATCCAGAAGGTATCGAGTTCGATCCCTGGTACAGGTACTTTAACTTTTATGGTGGGAGCGGACACTCCTGAAGATCTGAAGACAGCTACGGCGATCTTGGACGCCATGGGCAACCCGAAGCACTGTGGGGGCACAGGCTTGGGACAGGCCGTGAAGGTCTCCAATAATCTCATACTTGCTGCTAGCATGTTGGGAGTAGCCGAAGGCTTCCGACTCGCCAAGTAGTGGGGAAATTTTCGTGGCATTGTGCATCTGGTCTCAGGAGTCTGGGTGTTGACCCGAAGGTCTTTGCGGAGATCGTGAACACCTCTACTGGTCGCTGTTGGAGCTCGGACACCTACAACCCAGTGCCGGGTGTTCTGGATAAGGACATACCTTCTAATAGGAGCTACTCGGGCGTGGGTCCCGTCTGTGTGGTGTGGGTAATATAAGGATGATGATTCTCAGGGTTTCATGGTAGATTTGATGGTCAAAGATCTTGACCTGGCTAAGGCAGCTGCGGAAGGCTGTGGTGCGGAGGTGAAGGCGCTTATGGTCGTACTGGTGTAGTGAATGTATCAGGTGCCTGTCGCGGCGTTCGCGAGAGATCTTTATGCTAGTGTTGGTGCTAAGGGACATGGCAGGAAGGATTTCAGTTGTGTTTATGAGTACTCTGGAAAGGAGTGAAAGTTTGTTTTTTTGTCTCACCATGTGAATTGCAGACTCGTTGGGTTGCGTTGCTAAGTGGGGAAGGCTTGATTTTAACGCCACCTGTGAGGGTGTATAGAGATAGGGTAATCCATACTCATACAGCGCACTTGTGAAGGTACTTTGCGAGTGAGTTTGAAAGGATACATGTGCACAAGCGAGCCATGATGGAGCTTTGATTGGCTTTGGTCTTAGGAGCCATGATAAGCACAACAATATAGTTTTTCCAGTAGGTAAATACAGCAGTATATGGCAAGACTAAGTAGCTCTAGCTGAAGGTCAGGCTAAGTATCGAGGATTGTATGTAGGTGTCTCCGGAAAAGGCTACACCTTCCTCACTAGCGTGTAGCTGAAGTAGAATCTCTTCACCCGCCTCGGTCGTTGGCCGAAAACGTATGTTACCATCGAGAGGCATGGAAAGTCACATAGTAGGAGAACCGTTGGAGAAGACAGTATCGCTACTCAAAGCTAGCGGTCAATAGATTTCCAACCGAAGAGCTCGCATTCCTCTTGGTTGGAGGTATCATGATCCTCAATACAATGGGAGGTATAGCTTTCGAGGAGACCATGTGAAACAGTTTGTTTCGGCATCGGATAGACCATCAAAGCGCTTGGCACGTGTCCTCTGTGCGTGAGGATTGTGCGGGCGTTCTCGCTAAGGCGCCCCGAGTGATGGGTCGGGTCAGCCCGGGGTATTATCGGAGTTCGCTCCTACTGTTGAGCTCTTCTGCTTGGACCGAAGTGAACGCGAGTCGCCTCGGCGAGATAGCAGCCCTACACTCGCACTGAGTGGTGACACAGTCGTGTCCCCATGCCCAAGCTTCGGCCTCACTGAAGGAAGGCTGTGGCAGAGTCATAACAGTTGACTGTAGACATTCCTGTTTCATCTATCCTCCTGTTCAATGGCTACTCGAGTACTGTGTATAGCCCAGCCCAAGCTGCGCTCCGCTACGGCCAACGTCCTCACCTGTGAGGCTGCTCCTAAGAAGCAGTGGCTCCTATGGCGAAAGGTGGGACGCTCACGGTGGTGACACGTCTTGTGAGTGTGATGAATCTCAGGGTCTAAGTTTGTGGTGACACTGGACCAAACTCTACTTTACCCTGAGGGGGGCGGCCAGCCCTCTGATACCGGCCGTATAGGCAACGCTAAGGTCCTTTATGTAAATAAGAACTCTGAGGGAGAGGTAATAGTGATGCACATGGTTTATCGTTATGAGCTAACAAAATAACACTGAGCTGAGATCTGTAGAGGAATCGCTCGCCTTGTGATTCGACAGTTGTCGCTCAGGTTTATCATTATGTGGATAGTAAGGTAGAAGTGGGGTCCGAGGTGGCGGTCACCCTAGACTGGGACCGACGTTGGGACAACACCCAACAGCACTCGGGTCAGCATCTCATCAGTGCCCTCTGCGAGGTGAGTCTTGACTAGCAATAGGATCCTCTATTGTCTCTGTGTGCAGCATGCCGAGATTTTCCCCGAGTTCGGCAAAACCGATTCGTGGGAGTTCGGCAACGAGAGTTGCTCTGTCGATATTGGTCCTTGCAACCTGGACCTTATCCCGCAAGGTAATTCACGGGATCAATTTGTGGCTCGGAAGGCCTTTTTAGGAGAAACTTTGGAGTCCCGAGTGAAGGCTCTGGAGAAGGCATGCAACCAGGCCATTCGGGAGCACCGTACGGTTTTCAACCGCCAAATGAAACGCAGCGAGCTCGAGGACGAGAATGGCAATAGAGACCCGTAGGGCTCAACCGTCAGTGATTTGGATCGCGCGATATTTTATTTTTAGAATGCTCCGCTCCGCCCTGCCCAAGAAGGTGAAGGGCGACGTTTTTAGAATAGTTGAGATCGACGGCATTGAGAAGAATGCGTGTGGAGGAACTCATGTTGAGAACCTTTCCGAGCTGCAGTGTGTGAAGATCATAGGTGACAATTTTGTGGCGCGCGGTCATAGGGATACGGTCATTGTTTCAGGTCACTCACTGAAGGCGTCCACGCAGATCGTCACTTTCACTTTCCTCATCGGCCAGAGAGTCTTAGACCGTCTCGAGGAATGCTCCAATCGAGAGGCTGCTATGGTCAATGACTTGAGCTGCAAGAGGGAGAAGCTCCCCGAATTAGTTCAACAACGTTTGCAGCAGCTCACTGTTGCCAATCGACAGGTTCGTCTTCGCCTCCAACCCGGCGTGTAGTCCTCCTTGGTCAGGTGAAAGCTCTCACGGACGAACTTGTCCAGTTCCTAGCGTCCGACCTGCTCGAGAAGGCTTCCGGTCGGCCCGTTGTTGGTGCCTTTAGAGACTGCGAATCACCCTTCTTGCATCTACTTGAGAAGGCTTTGTCAGAGAAGATAAAGGAGATGGAGGGAGCCCCGAAGGCCGTAGCAAAACCCCTGTAATGATGTGGGTTCGTCACTGTCATTCAGATACTCCTGTGTTGCCCAACCGCCTTCCTCTTGTCGGACTGTCAAGAAGGTTATCCGCTTTTGGCGAACAAGGAGATGCTCAGCTCGGTAAGCCTCGGTCAGGTGGCGTCGATTGAGTTGTCTTGACAGTTACTCGAGGAGTTTGGTGCAAAGGGAGCTGGCGGAAAGAAACCCGTCTGGCAGGGCAAGTCCATGACTGGCATCAAGGAGCGCAACTTCAAGAAGGCCGTGGGCATCATCGAGGAGGCCGTTGCTGCTTGAGGTCTGTAAATGATTCTATCGTTCCTCTAATTGTTTTCAATTGTCCATACTTGAGGCGGCGGCGTTGCGACCTTGCTCTACTCTCGTGTTGTCAATTCATGGTTCGATTTGAGCTGCTCAACGTTAAATATACCACTCGTGGTCACGTGGGCCTGGTAGGGTAGTAGTTCGGTACGAGCCGACCCTAGAAATACTGATGAGGGAAAGACACTCAGGGGCACAGAGTCTGCGTGGCACTCGGTGAGTGTGCCGACGACAGTGCATGTATACACTCTCTTCGGGACTTGCTCCAAGCAGTGGTGGGATTAGGATGGAATAAATCTCTTCTGCCTCTGACCATACCATCATATGCCCCTCCACAAGCTCTCAGCATACATGGTGTGAAACTCATAATTCATCGAAGAGTTTCACCCTGATATTTGAATATCATAGCTTCAGTAACACTATCATTAACTTAGCAAGGCCTCAAAATCCCCACTCCACGGCTACTCTGATCGACGCACTCAACCCTAGTTAGCGTGCTTCCGAAATATCCTACGAATATGTGGAAGGGTGGGTGTACACGGACCTCTCACCTCACGATTTCATCTCTAAAGTTCGAATTACAGCGAAGCGATGCATCCATTCGCATTAGTAATTAGTTTGAGTATATAACTTGTTAATTCTCGAAAGACTTGCTCATCCATTACTGACAATAGCAGGTTATCGATATCTAATGATCGGACCTCCACCTTAGCTGCGGTTAGTGAGGCTCCCTGCTTTGGACTTCCACCTCAGAAATTGACAACGGAGACTTTGATATCAGTTGCATGTTATTCTCTGTGATGCCGACCGTGTGTATTATATCATCTCACTGTTCAGACTCCTGTATTGGAAAGCGAAACCACTTGAGTGAATTGAGACACGCGATATAAACAAATAGTAGGGAAGCAGTGTGGACGGAAAATACACAGTTGAACTCTGACTATGATCCCATTGTGAAGTAATATTCTCCTGTTTCCGTCCTCATGATCTCTAGTGTAGTTGAGTAGCTTATTTTAAACTCAAACTCCTCAAACTGACACCAGATGGGATGGAAATCACTCAGACAAGTAAAGATTGCAGAGACAGGGAAGTCCCTGCTAAGGCGAATTAAACGGAACTAAACCGACCCTCGAACAGCTCCAACTCTCCCTACTCCACATCCCTCAGCGATGTGTGTGATTGAGGCAACACAAAGGACTGTGTAGCCGAGAAAGATCGTGGAAAAACTTCGGGCAAACGCTGATGATGAACTCATCAAGATAAGGCAATCGAGAGATTTTCTTGTAGATAATGGTATGGGATATTAGACCACGGGAACGGCAGTTATGAAAGCTACCTTCTCCTAATGATACACTAAACGTACAGGAAGGGACCAAGAGGATGGTCATCACCCCTAAGCTCACTGGCTAGGGGGGGGGGACTAGTCTGATGTCATTAACACACAAGATTGGAGCCTAACTCGGTATTATTAGAGCCGTCCTTTTCTTGAGGGCCTCCTTTCTATGCTTATCCACACGAATAGACCATATGGCAAATAGTATGATGATGAAGACAGCGATGCAACCAATGACAAGCCCTTGGGCCTTCTTCCATGCATTGTCAGGTATGGAAGGCAACTCAGCAGAGTTTGGACCATCGACCGCATCTGGAAGCATTATGTCGCTTATCTGTCCGAGTAACACTGGACATGACAAGCGGTCGCCACTGAGCTCAAGAGTGTACCGATTCTGATATGATACCGCAACACTCTGAGCGTCGCCCACTCTATCTAATAGGCTTGTCTTGATAAACACTGATATATGGTCGTAGTAGAGCACACTAGAGATGTTGCCGTTAGTATCTAGAGTGTACGTCAAAGGGTTGTTCCTGGGCAAAGTTTCGAGCATGCCAGGAGTATCAAACGACGTCAAATTTACTGAGCCCCAGAAGGTTCCCACCACCAAGTTGAAGGCCCCTACATATATCGAGGGGTGGTAATGTGTTACGGGAGCATAGTCCGTAACGAAAAGTCCTTCACCAAGAGGACCCAACCGAGACTCATCAGCGTTGGTTGCGTTGAGGGAATAAGTAGATGCACAGTAAACCCCAGCAATCGGTCTTGAAGACAACAGTGGGGACTTAGAGCATAGTTCAAGCTGGTTACCAGCAGTATACAGAGGCAACCGATTCGTCTTAGGATCTGGCCCTGTTACGAACCTGAAATACAGAAGGTGAATGTGAGCAATGTCGGAAACCTCAGTGCTCCTACCATGTCTCGTTGAGCCGTAAGAGCAGGTACGTGAGATCGGTGGTGTCTCGCATTATTAGACCAGTGTCCTTCATGAAGTTGAAAGCCTTGCTTAGACATAGGCTCATACTATGATATGTAATTGACACTTCACTTTGTTGAATGCTCATCGAGTCAGTTCCATTAGGAAACGTCTGTTTGACATTGACGAGCTCGTCTTGACATAGATAGACCTGCCTCGTGTTGGGGTCGCCGGCCTGTGACATGTCGACATAAAGGCTCAGATACCCTTGGGTTTGATCGGTGTTGTCAAAGGCGATATAGGCCTCGTGGACTCCTTCATATTCATCAAAAGTGTCATCAGGCGAGACCCAACGGCAATAGCCCGTGAACTCGTCTGCTGGAATCGATTTCACCAGCACTGCCAAGCATATTAGAAGAACCCTCGTCAATGCGCCCAATGCACGGTTCGCAGGTCCACCTTTCCGCCGCCAATGAAGGTGTAGTAGTAGAGAGTCAGGCATGCCGATACTACTACAGAGCCATTTTAACATAAAGTCATCAACTGCAAGTAGGAGGAGTCACACTCTACTGCCCACTACCCATAGAGTAGAACATAATCGTTGCACGTCACAGAACTGACCGTTTTAACACGTGTAAAAACGTTTTGTACTGCGTGCTGAACCTTCGGGTGATCCGTTTGTTAAGATGGTTGGAGATACTGCTGTTGACCCTGCCTGCCCTGCGCCAGGCGATGCTCCCACTAGCGGAGATGAGAGCCTTGTGAAGTCCCTAACCCACAGCAACGATCCGGCCCAGTCGGATGCCCCAAGGGAGGTTGCTGATACTGCTGCTTCTGTCGTGCAGCTAGGGGCCAGTGTCGATGAAAAGGACACTGCAGAAGTCCAGCAAGTTGCTACTACCACAACTGAGACCTCTGCTAGTTGTACTGGTCGCATGGACGCGTCCCGTAGCGCCCCTGTTCGTGCTAGTAGCAGTAGCGTCGACTCTGCCTCGGACGATGGTCGCCGCTCGAGGAGCATCTCTCGCGACCACCGCCCCCGACGTGAGCCTAGCTATGACGCTGAGATCCGTCGTGAACATAGACGAGACCGATCGAGGTAAGGGAGAGTACTTTGTAATGTTGTTGTTCTCATCATTGGTTAGGTCTCGATCGAACTCTCGTCGCTTTGGCCGAGCCGAAATAACCCCTGCGAGAGGGCCTTCCCAAGCTGGATGTGCCTCTCGTATTTGGGTTGGTGGGTTGCCCTCCGACGTCCGCGAGGTCGAACTAGAAGATAGATTCGGCAAAATAGGTAAGCAAGTGTTTCTCAGTGGCGTTGTACTTAGACTGGTGATATCAGGTCGCGTTACTGACGTTAAGATCTGTCAGTCGTCAAGGGACACCTACGCCTTCCTGCAGTTCGATACGGAGGGTGCTGCTGCTGAGGCGATCGAGGATGTAGACCAAACCAAGTTCGGGGGCTTCACTATCAAGGTAGAGGCGAGAGGAGTCATAGAGAGCATGTAGGGGTTTCCTCAGGTTGCCCATGCAACCCGTCAATCTTCCGAAAGTCGCCGCCCTTATGGTTCTTACAATAGGTATGTGCAGTGTGGCAAGTGAATTCGGTATACCTTGTTATTGTCAGAGACTGGAAGCGACCCTCGTATGGAGGTGGTCGTTGGGGAGGCAACTACAGTGGTGGTGGATACTCCTCCGGTTACAGGAGAGGTTATGACAGACGTGAAGGCAGCAGCAGTGGTGGTGGTGAAGATTGGTACCGTGGAGGTAAGCGACCAGTGGTTTATGTGAACTAATGTGTTCAATTTCGAGACAGTTGGTAACACCAATGTGAACTTGTTGGTCGAATCGCATTGTTGAGATGAAAACACCTCTTCAACTATGGTTTAGCAGTGTGGTTTACGCTGTATTATCTGACGATGTATTTTTGACGTTCTCAGACTCTCGCGGTGGTAGAAGGGACGACTATGGGAGAGATATTACCACTCGTCGCGACTACCCTGAGTGAGCCTATTATCATCTTGCCCAAGATGGCATTGTATTCTATGAGCAGTTACAGCCCACCGTCCAGCCGGTCCAGACCGGCTGAGCGCCAAGGGTCCTGGGATCGCGATGGTGGTGGACGTCGTGTTGGTGGTGATGACGGTGTTAGTTTCTACGACGATAAGGAAATGCCGCGGTCTGGTCGTCATGGGGGAACTGCTGGGGGTAGAGGGGCGTTACAGCTGAAGCTCGAGAATCTACCCGAGGATATGAGTTGGCAGGAACTCAAACAACTTGGTAGCAACATACGATGATTTTTATTGGTTTATAGACATTCTTTGTGTGTATTCAGGAAAGGACTATGGCAGTTCGTGCTCGTTCGCTAGGACCTTCCGAGAGGGTCGTGTATGCTGTGGTGTATTGGAATATACAGACCCCGCACAGGTAGGCTGGACGTAAGGTCTTGGGGGCAGTTGTGGAGCCCTAGGCCCCGCGGAGTTAGTGTAAAAATCACACAAAAGTTGTCTACACTGTATAGAACGCAATATGCTGTACGCATACACAAGGCAACACTTTCCATCAGGTCGAGGAGGTATTGAAGTCCCTGGACGGTAGACGTATACAGGGCTGTCCGGATCGGCTACGTATCACCAGAAATGAGGGACAACCTCGTGATACAGGTAGGCGAGTATTGTCAGCAGTATGGGATTTTCTCTCTTGTGTGTTTCAGACGATTCCTCGTACGATATCAAAAGATACGATCGGCCTCGGGGTGGTATGCGTTACTAACGCGATTTGTTATTTTCGTGTTGGGCGTATGACGATTTGGTGGATAGTTTTTATCGCCTCCGCATCATCCTATTGATACTCTATTGATATCAAAGCTATCTATGTATTGTGCGTTGAAGCGGGGAAAGTCACGGCTTGTATATATTCTGGCGATGGACAGAGCTGGGTTTTAGGGAGATGAGATATCACTCCGGGTCCGATGATATTACTTTATGGCGTTATGTGTGGTCACGTAGTTAGTGTATTCTCATTATTATTATCGTTATGTCTGCTACCACTCCAGCTCGAGCATGGGGGGAATAGCCTCAAGGCTGGTCGATACATAATTCGGCTATGCACAGGAGCTGGGGTTCAGGGAGTTGGGGATATCATGGAAAATTCATTCATAGGCTCGGATGATGTTCATGATGATATGTGTGGTCGTGTAGTTAGTGTATATCCATTAGTATCGTTATGTCGGCTACTACTACAGTTCCAGAATGGGAGAAACAGCTGGAAAGCCAAACACATGCCTCGCTCTGCATCTCACCTGTTACCTACTAGAATGGTCCTAGCTAGGTGATCCTAGTATTATATGGCTTTGATTCGGGTATTACTATTGATATGTGAATTACGTTTGGTAGCCTAGGAATCGGTTGGAGTATATCTCCATGGAATATTCCATCACGCCATGTACGAGGTATGAACAACAAGGCACCGTGGATCGGTTAAGAAGAGTTCATCATTAAACGCGCAATATGGCTTTTATCATTACTATGAGAAGTTATGGTAATTATCAGAAATTAGATGGGTTGTACGTGAACTGGATTGGCAGGGAAATTCTGTGTTGTCATGGTTTGTCTCACCGTGGCTTGCTTTTGTGGTATGGTAGATCGTAGCATTCGGGCAAAATAGATGTGTTGTCAAGGATGGCGTTGTCGGAGTTGTCTCCATTTTCTATAAAATCTCACACAGTGCGCAAGGTCGACTATGTGTGTCGCTGACGATATGTCTACGGGTGTTGGAGGATGTAGACGATTCGTCATTTTCCTTCCACGTTGTTGTATTTTGGATAAAGACAGAGCGAGGTGAGTCTCCCGTCGTGATTATATTGTTCGGAGAGTGTCTAGTTTATATTTTCATCTGAAGGACGGCCTGATATCCATCTCTGGGGTGATCGAAAAAAATAGCCTATCCCTCGAAATTTCTCAGGGCGTGTGAATATCAGACAATTTCTCAGGTACCGTTTTGAAGCTCTCAACTAATTCCAGACTGTTCATATTCGACAAGTTGTGAGGATATGGAGAAAGATGTGTATAGGGAAAAGTGCTGACAAATTCCATTTTCAGCGAATTTTCTTGGCGATATGCGAGGATATTTCATCAGAGAGAATAGAAGAAGCTTGCCGAGTGGGGGAATTTGCGATGCGAAGTATCGATAGGTAGTGTGCATGCTATGATGGGGACAATTTGATGGTCGAAGTAGTAGTCTACAGTCCTTATAAGTAGAGGTGTGCGAGGACAACATGGGTTGGGGAACATTATTTTCCCTGGTGTCATTACTATCCGTGTTGGGTTGTCACTGATAAGTGAGATGTACGAAATCATGGCTAGTGGCATTCCATGACAGTTTGAATTCAGCGTATATGGTGAATGCACCGCAGAGTCTAGGTGGGGGAGGCCCTGTGAAGTTGTTTGTTCGAGGGCTATCCAAATCGCTCACTTCCGACGATGTACTGAGGATATTTCAGCAGTAAATATCGCGGAAAAAATGGGAGAATTTGAAGTGTTCGTGTGTGGGCGTTAGGTATGGCGGAATTGATGAGGTGTTCATTATGAAAGACAGGGAAACACAGGAGTCTCGAGGTGAGCTGCTGGGCCTGACAAGCTTACAGTGTGGGAAAATATGCACATGATCATCCACACAGGTTGGTGAGAATATGGAAAATTTTTCGGAAATTTTGGGAGATTTTTTTTACATTTTCACCGACTTTCATATATAAATTTCTGTAATTGGTGAGGAAAATTATGAACACAGCTGAGGAAAGCGAGCATAGATTCCAACACTGCTAAAATGCCTGTTGATCGTGTTTCTAAGACTTTCACTTTGAGGAAATCAGATTGTTTAAAGCAGGCTTTTGCCATTAGCATGGAGTAATAGGATATCACCATCTCGATGACGATGCTTCGCAGGGTTGGCATTTGTACGGTTTCGAGATCTCGCAGAAGGACAGAATGCGATAGCGGCACTGAACGGGACGACTCTGCCGGAGGTAACCTGTTGTTGATGTCTGGTTTGAAAAGGATATGTTGAATGAAGAGAAGTGGTATAAATTTAACGTATTTTTTACAAATTTTTTTGGGGGAAAAATCAAGTTCACTATTATGAGAGTCCCTCAGTAGGGTTCAAGCATTCAATGGAGTTTCACCATCCTAGTGATATGAAAAACGCTAGTGAGCGATATATTTTACGACTACTACATAGCGCGAATATCGGGTTTTTCACAGAGTATTACGCAATTTCATGTAACACGGGTGAAACGCTAAGTAGGGAATGAGCGTTTGATATGGTTGGTCATAGTGTTGTGTGTAGAGTGCCAGGCCGCTGACTGTTATCTATGCACAAGGAGAAGCTGAAAGGCTCGGGTTGACTAAGGAGACCCCTGGCATGAGGAGTAGTAAAGAGCATCCTACCTCTTCGGGATCACTTGCCACTTTTCGTTAATTTCGAGCTAGTCTATGAAATTTTGAGGAGTGCTTCAATAACACGTCAAATGGAAATCTGAAAAAAATCACATATTGCCGAGTTATAGCAATTTTCCGAAAAATTCCATTTATGTGCTTTTTATGAGAGACATTGGGGGAATCTTGGGCGTGCGCAGGTGAAGATACGAAATTGTATGTGGCTGGTCTTGGCCCTTCGACGGAAGCTGTTGAACTACGTAAAATATTCGAGCCTTTTGGCAGAGTCACTGAAGTACACGTACCGGGACCACATGCTTTGTAATAAGGGCGAGCTGGTAGTGGCAATGTTGCAATATATGTTTGCTGTCCTCAGCCGAGCTCAGAAATTTACTCGCTCACTATAGGAGTTTGTTGTGAAAAAACCATCGGGAATTTCTCGAAATTTCTATGTTCTCCCACACTGCTTGTTAGTGGATGAGGCAGGTACGCATTCGTACGGTTCGCAGAGGAGAAGGATGCTATGCGAGCCATCAGTGATGTTAATGGTCGAGTACAGGTAGAAGGCTCCCAGCGGATGCTCGAAGTGAAAGTGGCGGACCCTTCTAGCAGTCGGGGGCCGACTAGAAGGCCCTCGGGTAGTATTGATGTGTAGATGGGCTCGTCAGTCGGTCTTTCTAGGGTCGCTACCACCAGTGAGCTCCTATGGCTCTCCAGCTGGAAATGGCTATGACCATACCCCGAGCGTGCAACCTCGGTTCGTGAATGGCATGTCGCAGGGATATGGCCAGGGTAGGGACTTCTGTGATGACTTTCTGTTGCTATTGATGATCAATAATTGATCGACTCTGTAGCATCAACTCCACTGAACTCGACAATGGCTGGAGACACCCAAGGGCAGTGTAGTAGAACCATTGGGGCGTGGACAGAGTGAGTGTATGGGCGTGATGGCATTGGGGTCAGTGGTCATGGCTAGGTACTTCGCGATGGATGGTACGCCTTACTACCACAATTCTCAGTCTAACACGGTGCAGTGGGAGCTCCCGATGGAGTTTAAGAACCCGTCGGCAGCCCATACGGTGCCTCAGGCTAAGGGTAAGAATAGTCGTCGTTTATCGGGAGTAGTGTTGGAGGAGGAATATATGTTCGCCTTCCTCAGCTGAGCTTGGGAGTTTCCTTACTGATTATATCTAGTTGGGGAAATATAAGTTCTAGTTAGTCATGGTCCTAGGTAGCGTGATCGATGATATTGTATGAGCGCTTGACCGAAGGGCGAATGGTATACGAACGAATCCGAGTAGAGCTGTGCAGAAATCAATGCGAATTTACCAAAATTTTCACAGAGTTTTATGTGGTTGACCATGTGCATGTTTTCTCGCACTCCTAGAGAGAGACACTAACGGGGTCAGGTCCGGCCGGCGCGAACATCTTCATATTTTCTGTTCCGGACGCATGGACGGAGATGGATTTGCGACAGCACTTTGGGTTGTTCGGAAACATAGTGTCTGCTAAAGTAGTATTGTTGTTGATGTGAATTGAATAAATGTTGTTATTCAGGTGGTGGTTGATAAGCAGACTGGTATCTCGCGGGGTTATGGCTTCATTTCTTATGATAACTGCGACTCGGCTGAGAGAGCTGTACGTAGTAGTGTTATTGATTTCTCGACTCGATCAACGTGAAACCAGTAGCCTTGCAATGTTTATAAGAAACTGATGATAGCAGTGATGGATAAAGTTGATGATGCAGCACAAGTACATGCAGTTCGTATGAGAGCCGATAAGGCCTTCCCCCCTCTTTTTGGTTCTTATCCTATCTGCCGTGTGGAGCAGTAGTAGTGTTGGTTGGTGTGGTATGTCTCGATGTCTTAGGTCCAGACTATGGACGGCTATATGGCGCCGACTGGGAGGAAGATAAAGGTCCAAATTAAGAAGGGTGAGGGTAGCAATAACGACGCCTCCCCAAAGCATGCAACAACACCGTATTGACACGCTTTGTCATTTCCATGGCTATGATCATCACGGCAATGATTATTCTATTTCCGCATGTCGGACTCTATATTACTACTATAGTACAGCCTTAGTGTGTGTAGTGATGATGATATAGTATTGTCGAGTTCAATTATACTCAAGGATGTGGATAAATCGATCACGGGGGCGGGCGCGCATTAAGTTGAATCATGTTGTTGTTGGTCATCATCAACTTGAAAGGCGCCGATGGTCTGCTGAAGTCCCCGAAGAATTGTGGCTTTATCTAACAACGGCTTAAATGATCACTTTACCTTAAGTTTGGTAACTCTGGCTATTCTGGAGGTGCAAGCATAATCACCATATTGTTATCAAGCGAATCCACTACTGAGTTGCAACAAGGTGTACTATGATGAATCACTCAGTGGATGGTCATTGCTATTACGGTGAACCGTTGAGGCCACATGGGGGGTTGTTGGTCGCCCATCAGCCCTCTGTAGGGGGGTGCATGATGAAGTTCAGCTTTAGGGGAAGTGACTACGATATTATACTTAGTCTTTAGTGAGTCTATCGGCAGCGTAAGGAGTGGTCTTCGCGTCTCGAATGGACGAGTTGGTCTTCTTTCCCGTTACTTTTATGGAGTTTGTTGTGAAGGATGGTAAGTGAGAGTAAAATCGACAGTTTTCTATTTTCACATTTCGGGTTTTATTTGGGTTCCTCATTTTTCTACTAGAATTGTTCCTATTAGAGCCATCGAGCACGCGTGGGTGAGGCCTCTGCTGCAGAGTGAAATTTCCTTGCGGCTTGTGGTCGGTTTTATCAGGACCGTACTGAGGGGCTCTGAGGCTGTTGACAATTCTATATATCTCACTTGCTCCTGTTGTGCATGCCAGTGGCGTTTACAGATTTGTAATATTCGGCTGAGCGGGAAAGGTTCACTTTGTATGTCAACTTGTTGTTTGTACTATTGCTACAGCAATATTGTACTCGTCGTTTTCACGCTGATTTTAGGTCGACTGAGGGGCCTCAAGGAGTTGCTTTATATCCTTCTGAGGTGGTCATCGTACTGTAAATGCTACTAGTGGAACCGGCTTAACGGTATCAGGAACAAGATGGTTTAACGTCCTTTTCTATTGTGAATCGGTATCGACACTGGCGACTGAGGTGATAGTGATAGGCTCATTAGATGGAGAATGTTCGCTCGGCGGTGGTGTCTTCTGGACAGCTTCATAGCGGGGGTCTCTGTGGTGTTGATGTGTGTGGGTTTTAAGGAGGCGTAGGGTGTTGCAGCTGAACTGTTGATAGGATGGACACGGTTTCGGTCATCCGCTTTGAATGGCGTTCTCTGACTTGGCCTTGTCGCCTCTCTGGTTCTGTCTTGTTGACCACTTGTGTGTGAAGTAGTGTGGTTTCGGTTACAGTTGTTGTTATATCGTCGTCGTATGGCCGTGTATCGTCCTGGCCTCGGTCGGGAGGCTCCTCGTGATGCTCAGCAAAACGCTATCGACATCGTTGCTGGTCTCACACCAGCGGCCAACAGGATTGGACTCAAACAGGTTTTCCAGAAATACGGCGATGTAATAGATGCTTCTCGGTGATTTGTCAGATTTATGGTATATCAGATAACAGTGTGTTGGTTACCCCCCGTAGACAAGCGCAACGAGATGGCTGCTTATATTCGCTACGAGAATTCTGACTGTGCTAAGGCTGCACTAGCCGCATGCGACAGCGGGGAAGTATTGCTGAGCTTTGCTACTGGTTCGTAATGGTAGATTGGACGACTGTTTAGGTGGTCCTGAATGGTATACCCCTGAAGGCTGAGTACCGCTCCCGTGGGGCTTCCAGTGCGAGTTCGGCCTATGCAGCGAGGGAACGAGGCGGATATAACAGGTGAATCCATGGAGGGCTCGTGTGCCTTTGGATGGGTCTGTTAGGAGTGGAAAACGGAGGAGTTATGGAGCACTGTCGAGTCGCAGTAGGAGCAGGGAACGTCGAAGGGCGAAGTGATATAATTTCACTCTTATTTGTATAGGTTTACCGTTTACTTATTAGATATGGGTACAGCTCGTCATCGTCCTCATCCCGTTCCCGCTCACGGTCCTACTCGGGTGATAGGAGAAGCCGCAGTTATGACAGTCGTGATGGAAGCCGCAGTCGCCGACACCGTGGTGGCGATCGTAGGAGTAGAAGTCGATCGAATTCGAGAGACCGCAGTAGAAGGGAAGACAGGTGATCATGACCTGGGGGGCACTTGGAATCCACAGTAGGGCTAGATAGATCTAGTAGTGAGAACCGGTGGCTAGTTGGAATAGGTACGGGACACAGGTACCTTATAATGGGTTACTAGATGCAGTGTTTCACCACTAGGTAAATGACTGTTGTTAACACCCTAGGCGTTCGTCGGACTACTACAGAAGGCGTTCTGATTCCCGTCAAGATCGGCGTTACTCGCCATATGAGCGCTATGGCCGCAGCGGTGGAGGAGGAGCCCGAGAGAGTAGAGATGGAGGAGACCGACGATGAAAAGATATGAAGTAGAGGAAGGATGGTCGCGGGCAATATTAGTATATTCTCTGGAACTTACATTACTATTGAGTTCAATAGTTTTACATGATCAACGAGAAACGTCGAGTTAGAGCATACGAATAACTACGGTTCATCATCAACACATTTCTACAGAGGAAAGGAAGTATATTAACAGAGGTTATCTCGCCCTGTGGACAAGATTCATTGACAGGATGAAAGTAGACAGTTTAAAAGGCTAAAACTGATCCCTCGGAAGTTAATGTGCATCGATGCGAATATAATTAAGCCGTGTAGTCGTAGGCGTTGGACTTTAAACTCACACAAGGAAGGACAAGAACATGAATGTGTTCAAAGGCAGTGTGGAAATTCTACTGGGGCGGAGCGTAGTGGTTTTGGGTACGAGCGAGTAATGCTAAGAGAAACACTGATTTGTGCATCGCCAGGGTATTGTAGGCATTGTTTTAGTGCAGTGAGTTGATCTGGGGTGGTGTGGGAAAATATGTACATGGTCAACTACGTGTGTTGGTGACAATATGAAAAATTTTGAGGAAATATTAGGAAATTCTCATTGGTTGCTGCTGTACACTTCTACCCGAATTTGTATATCAAATCTTATATGTAGTAAGGACACTCTAGGACTGAGCTGAAGAGAAAGATCAACACTAGTTTGGATTCTGTGAAGAGGCAAGAAAATGCGCCTTCGCTCCGCCCGCGCTCTATTAAAATCGATCACGTGATCGATCAAGAGTTCGCGCCGACCTAGAGTAGCCACCCCGTACACCAGCACCATGGCCGTTGGCAAGAACAAGAGACTCACTAAGGGAAAGAAGGGAGGCAAGAAGAAGGTGTAATAATGGATAGTACTAGTTGTTGTCGGCGAACTGCAATGCTCGGTCGTGATTGTTCTCAATGAATATTAATAGCATTTCGTTGATTGACTTGCTATCTTCCTTATTGTAGGGGTGATCCCTTCCTCAAGAAGGAGTGGTACTCAGTGAAGGCTCCTACTATGTTCTCCGTCCGCGAGGCCGGCAAGACTTTGGTCACCAAGACCACCGGTACCAAGGTAATAAGTCTTGCTTTTCTTACAATCCAGTTCTGTTATTTCGGTTAAGTGTTGATGATTTCGATCGTTTTGATGTCAGATTGCCTCTGATGCCCTCAAGGGCCGCGTCTGCGAGGTCAACCTTGCCGACTTGAACTCCAACGAGGACCACTCCTTCCGTAAGATCAAGTTGGAGGTCCAGGAAGTCCAAGGCCGCAACGCCCTCACCGACTTCCACGGCATGGACTTCACCCGTGACAAGCTCTGCTCGCTCATTCGCAAGTGGCAGACTTTGATCGAGGCCCACGTTGACGTGAAGACTACTGATGGTTACATCCTCCGTCTCTTCTCCATCGGCTTCACCAAGAAGCGCCCGGAGTCTGTTAAGGCCAACTGCTATGCCAGCGCTGCTCAGATCCGTAGGATCCGCAGAAAGTAATTCGGGCCTTCCAGTCGTCTCTAGAGGGGCCTCATAGTATTATTCTTCCTTCTTTCACTTTTTTCTTTTTCAGGATGGTTGACATCATGACCGCTGAGGCTTCCAAGTGCCGCATGAGCGACCTCGTCAAGCGTTTCGTCACCGAGTCTATCGGCGCCGAGATCGAGAAGCAGACTCGTTCCATCTACCCTCTTAAGGATTGCTATATCCGTAAGGTTAAGATCCTCAAGAAGCCGAAGTTCGACCTCACTCGTTTGATGGAGCTCCACACCGAGTCTGCTGAGGAGGGAACCGCTGTTGACCGTAACGTCATTCCCGAGTCGGAGGAGGCCAAGATCCAGTTGTAAGCGTTGTACTCTCGTCATCGCAACAGCATAGTTTCTGTCGGCGTACTTCGAGGCTCTTGTAACGGTGCTAGGGATATTGGCTGGAAAGAATTGACTGTAACATGTTGTGTTGTTAGTCGGGTTGGGCGAGTGGGGCTATTGGCTTTATCGAAATCTTTATAACCTTGTTAACGCGGGATAGCACGTGGAGGGCGGATTTTTCATAGTTTAGATTGTGCTCAGAGGGGGTTAAAATAATGTTGAGTGAGTTGACGTAAATAATTAGTTTCAGCGGACATATGGTAGCTGGTCGAAATTAAGAATTGTCTATTTTGTGTTCATATGAAGTTGGTTGTGTATCCTGTGGGTTTGCAGCGGAGATGCTGAATTATGCAGTGCTTTTTCACATGAGGCAACCGTATTGTAGTCGGAGTCCGTATCGCATGTGAAAATCAGCTGATAATTTCCATGTAGAGGATGTAGTTGTTGCATCTCGGGTTTACCGCTAGCGAATCGGCCACGAAACATTCCCATATAAGGCCTATTTGGCCAACACAATTCATCGCAAGTCAACATCCGAGACTGTGTTCTAAGGGCCCATGTACGATTATCAGCTTTCAATAGGAGCTGCAGGGGCATCAGCCAGTTCCTGCTTGCAGACAGGGCACTGCGTTAAATTCTTGGTTCTGAACCAGTCCTGATCAGACAGGCCCTACAGGTAGCAGGTCAATGAGGCTCACCTTGAGGCAGTTACGATGTACCAAATGCTTGCATAATGTGATGAGGCTGACCTCTCCGCAGCTACTCTCTCCATCTGCCTGTACTTCTACGAAGGATTCCAAACAGATCGGGCACGAGGACATCATACGCTGGTGCCCCATGAGGACGGGATTAGGACTGTCGAGCTGTTCGCGGGACCAACACAGGGTGTTTGCGTCGAGTATTCTGTCCAACTCCTCGGATGTTTTCTGACGAGGTGGTAGACGTCGTTGTTGCCGCAATACGTCTGCAAATATACCCAATTCGTCTGCTCCGATGAGATCTATCTCATCGCGATGCCTTAGGAACCACACCATCTGGCAGGGGGAAGCTGAGACCTATCCAAACGATTGCGGGGGTATTACGTAATAGAGTACGTGAAGCACCATGAAGAGAAGGGCGGAGCCAGTCGTCGTAGGTATGAACACGTCAACGGCCTCGCCAGAATACTCCTCGAGCCTCGAGAAGGTCAGCAACGTTATCATCGGCTGCGAAAGTACGAACGTTCCAGAAACCATTCACAAGGTGTATGTGCAAAGGCCTTAGTGCAGTTCGCTAAGGCCGAAAACGGCTAAGAACTCCTT